TCATTTGCGGTGAATAACGGCATGGCAAGAGGGCCGGCGAAATTATGTCTGAGGATGTCTCGAGCAAAACGCTTGCCTTTCAGAATTGGTTGAGGACGTCTCGAGCGAAACGTTGTTTCGTGTTATAGACTGCTCCTCTCCTGGGGGCCAGAATTCAAAGGATGTCTCATGTGAAATGCTTGTCATCACGTGCCAGATCTTGCGGATGTCTCGAGCGAGACGCTTGGTTTCACGCGTCCAGGTTGCCCAGGCAGATGTCTAATATGAATATTTGTTGAGGATGTCTCGAGCGAGACGTTTGCTTTTACGTGTCCAGGTCGCCCAGGCGGATGTCTAACATGAAGATGTGTTGAGGATGTCTCGAGCGAGACGTTTGCTTTCACGTGTCCAGGTCGCCCAGGCGGGTGTCTAGCGTGAGAAGGTGTTGAGAACGTCCCGAGCGAAACGCTTGTTCTCACGTGCCCAGGTCACCCAGGCGGACGTCGAACCTGAAGATGTGTTGAGGATGTCTCGAGAGGACCACTTGTTTTCAGGTGCCCAGTTCGCCCAGGCGGATGTCTCGCATGAGGATGTGTTGAGCGAAACGCTTGTTTTCATGTGCGCAGTTCGCCCAGGCGGATGTCTAGCATGAGGATTCGGGCAGGATGTCTCGAGCGAAACGCTTGTCCCCAGCACGTCCCGTAGCGCGTCCCCTTGGCACGTCCCGCGGTGCGTCCCCATGGCACGTCCCCTGGCACGTCGCCTGGCGCGTCCCTTGGGTCGTACCGCGGCGCGTCCTCCTGGCACGTCCCCCTGTCAATTAGCTGTGGCAGCTACTATGCGCTCAGGCAGCTCGAGCTTAAGATCCAGATCAGTTCGGTCAGGACTCGGATGCAAAGGAAGACTCAACCCACAATGCTATAGAGGAGCACAATCGCTGCATAGCACATCGCAATTCAGCACGGCGCGGCACAGCACAGCCCTCGGCACGGCACGTCAAGATCGATATGCTCAGCTTTGCAACCTGGCACATTCCCTGGCACGTTCCTTGGCGCGTTCCATGGTTAGTCCCACTGGCACGTCGCGCGGCGCGTCCCCTGGCGCGTCCCGTGGCACGTCCGCTTCAAGACTCGGATGCAAAGGGGGACTCGATCCACGACGCTATAGGGCACAATCGCGGCATGGCACATCGCAATTCAGCACGGCGCAGCACAGCACAGCCCTTGGCACAATACGTCGATATCGGCACACTCAGCACTGCACTTGCCCGTCGCCCAATCAAATGTTTTGAACACATTGCATGCCTTACGTTTCTATATTCCTTTCAGGGTTCGTGGGTCGATAATGTTTACCGGAAAAGGCGGAGGCCCATGGCTCTCTTTTAGTGAATTAATTTCCCCTGGCCATGACTTCAGGTGGACCGGCGGAGTTGTTTGCGATAAATAACAATGTGAAACCTGATTGTTGTTCAACATATTCGTTTCGCGCGTGCCCGTTCAAGGAAAATGCGCACCCTATCTCCGATCCCCGATAAATAACATGGTCCGCAGACACCCGTTTTCCCTTGATATGTAAGACTGCAGAGCGTCTTGCGCAGAGTCCGCGATGAAACACGAGGTCTGGAGCCCCTGAAATTTGTAAACAAATACAGTCGGGGCCTTGACCTAAGGAACCAAAATAAGGAACGAGGCCCCGTTTTTCCATAAGCTAAACTCCGATTTCCGATCGAAAACATCAGGAAAGCCTGAGGCAAGCTGCGAAACACTCAAGGAACGCGGAGCTCCTCCCCAACGAAAAGGGTTCATTCCTCAGGGCCCCGACTGTATGGAACATCTAATTTTTGCGTTCCCGCTCGAGGATGGCGCGTCCCGCGCGCAGGATTTCGAGGATGTCTCGAGCCCGGCGCTGGTTGTGCAGAAGGAAGGTTTGCTTGTGGCGTGCCGAATCTCTGCGGATGTCTCGGACGAAGCGCTTGTCTTGCAGCGATCCTGGCCCTGGGAGCGCGGACGCGGCGTAATTGACTAGGGATCCTGGCCCCGGAGGCGCGAACCCAGCACCGTTTATGAGGGATCGCGGCCCTGGGAGCGCGGACGCTGCGCAATTCATGGGGGAGCGCGGCCCTGGGAGCGCGGACGCAGCGTTGTCTACGAGGTATCGTGGTCCAGGGAGGGCGGATGCAGCGTCATTGGCGCTGGATCCCGGGATCCTGGCTCTTGAGGCGCGAAGAACACGGCATAGTTCAAGAGGCATCGTGGCCCTGGGAGCGCGGACACCTCGCAATGCACGAGGGAGCACGGCCCTGGGAGCGCGGACGCAGCTGGGTTACGAGGGATCGTGGCCCAGGGGGAGCGGGCGCAGCGTAATTTGCTGGCATCGTGGCCCTGGGAACGCGGACGCGGGCCAATCATGATGGATCGTGGCCCTGGGAGCGCGGACGCAGCGGGTCAGGTACGTCCCGCGGCACGTTCCCTGACGCGTTCCCTGGCACGTCCCCTGGCGAGTCGCCTGGCACGTTCCCTTGCACGTTCCGTGGCGAATCCCCTTGGCACGTCGCGCAGCGCGTCCCTTGGCACGTCCCGTGGCACGTCCACTGGCAAGTTCCGTAGCGCGTCCCCTTGGTACATCCCGCGGTGCGTCCCCATGGCACGTCCCCTGGCACGCCCCCAGGCGCGCCCCTTGGGGCGTTCCCCGGCGCGTCCCCCCTGGCATGTCCCCCTGGTATCGCCCAAGCGCATCTTCAATTGAAATCCTTAGAAACGGTTCCATACCTCGCAGTTCTCAATCCCTTCTGGGTTCGTGGTCGATCATGTTCTTGGCAAGTGCTCCAACCCAAGGTTCTCTCTTAAGATGATAATCCGTCTCCGGAGGCCATGTTGGGGGTGGGCCGGCGGATTTCCGCTCGTCAAAAACAATACAAATACCTTTTGGGCGTGGAAATCATGTGTTTCGCGCGTGCCCGCTGGAAGAACATGCGCCCTCCAGGTCGGATCCTTCAGCTTTTTTGGAAGCACCTGTGTGGCCGAACGTTGAGGCCGGACCTGCCAAGCTATCGGACCATGTGTTCCCCGAATCGGTTCGGAAAGCCTTCGGGGAACACGTGGGCATCTTGAAGGTCCTCTTGGCCGTCTGATGGCCATTTTGACCCTTTCGGGCCTTCTTGGAGGACGTCTTGGAGGGCTCTTGGGCCGTCTTGGAGGCCATCTTGAGCGTCTTGGAAGCATTGGGCCGTCTTGGGGGCCTTTTGGGGCCGTCTTGGGCCTCGTGGGTGATCTTTGGGAACACTTGGGCCGTCTCGGGCCGTCGGAAGGACGAAAAAAGCAAATGCCACAATCCTTGTCTGGTAGTGCTCCATTCCCAACATTTTGAGCAAGAGAGTCTGTCTCGAGGAACGCGGCACGGCAGGCGAAGCTCGGCCGGCAGCGAAGAGCAGCCGGAGGCGTGGCCACATGGCGGTCTGTGCTAAGCAGGACGGCCACCACAATAATGCTTCGAGGCTGAAAAGGACAGTGGGAAGCGCACTCGGATGGCGGAGGGCAGGCCCCGGGTGCACTTGAGAAAGATCAAAAGCCATGGGGCGACCCAGACAATCACGTGCAAGCGCTCCTATGTCTGGTAGTGCTCCATTCCCAACATTTTGGGCAAGAGAATCTGTCTCGAGGAACGCGGCGCGGCAGGCGAAGCTCGGCCGGCAGCGAAGAGCAGCCGGAGGCGTGGCCACACGGCGGTCTGTGCTAAGCAGGACGGCCACCACAATACCCCAAATCACTTCCCGAAACAAGAAGGTGTTCTCTGATAACTAGCAGCAATGAGAGCGGCGGCGAGATCGCGGCACAAGCCTGTAGGGTAAGGTTCGGCCACATTTGTCCACGGGATGCCTCTGCTGGGGTGTGGGCCGCTCAATTCGATGTGTGGGCGGCCGCTGTAAAAAAACAACATCCTTTTCCACAGCAGAGGCGGTTGCGCAGAGGTTCTAGACACGCATCATCTACGTTGCCAAACAGAAAAAGGGTCCTCTTGCGCCACCGCGTTCCGTAGCTGCAGAAATCCAGTGAGACCTGAGCGGCGCCCCGTAGAGCTCGTCGCCGCAATGCCGGAATCTTCCACATCATGCTGCTATAAGGGTTTTCCAAAACCAAGGTAGCTGATAGAGGTCTAGCGCACGAATGATACGGAGGGTTGCCCTGAGCAGCTTGTTGCCGCGCTGTAGTGCGGCGTGATCATTGACACTGAAATCTGATCTGTCTGTAACTCCCCAGGGCTGCGACGAGGTTCTGATGAAACGAGTTCGCATTCTTGCTATCGAGAAACTGGTGCACTCTGTTGCGATCGCTGCGCCGAGGATCAGACCACTCTTGGCATCCTCTTCCAGGCGGCGAAGCACGGCGTGATCGGTGAGATCTAGGCTCTGGCTGTAACGAAGATCCCAGAGTCGTGCAGGGTAACCACGGCGCGCAATTGCCTTCCCGACGCCGCCCTCGCCACAGAACAGGTCGGCAAAATACTGGCGATAATTCGCGGCGCCACAAAAGGCAGGGCGGCCGCGTGGTCGAAGAAGAGAGCCTCGAGTTACTGGTCCGCCTTTCGGGGGGAAGCCACCTCCCAAGGCAGCAGGCGGTGGGCAGAGAGGTTCAGCCTGGCGGCGTTCTGGTATCTCTTGAGCGAGCTCCTGCATTCCCGGCCGCCTCGCTTTTTCAGCTCCATGTGATCGCCGTGGCGGTTCTGTAGGTCCAGCATCTTGTGGGTGGCCGCCCTTGACAGCGGGAACAGCAGCGCCCCCCAATCGTTCGAGCTTCCTTTTGCTGGCTGGATGAGATCCTGGCGCTGGATTGTGAGCGGCTCGCCTGGGCGGTGGTGCGTCACGATCATCTACAGGATGTGCACATTCATGAGCCAGCACCCTCGGCAGCAGAGGTCCCAGGCGACAGCTGACCACACCATGCGGGCGACCGGTTTCCTTGAGCGCCGCCCGCATCTCCGGCGCCACCCCTTCAGGCATCGCCAGGCCCAGAGGAAGCGCGATCTCCCCAGCTTGCCATACTCGGGCTGGAAGTGCAGCAAGGCCGACAGCAGCACGTCGCCCTTGTTCGAGTGATGGCCCGGCTCGTATAGCCCGTTCATGTAGTGCACGAGCACATCGTCCACCTCGCTGTCCACGACGAGCTGGCGCTCCTTGACGGCGTCGATGAAGGTCTTGAGCTCTACCTGGTATTGCGCCTCTGTGCCCAGCCTCACCGCCGAGCGCTCCAGCAGCGTGAGCCCCGCCAGACTGGGCGGCGCCTTGGCCTGGGCGACAGCCCGAGCGTGGTGCCGAGCCGTCTGGCGGAGCTGACGGGTGCGAGCTGCCTCTGACTCGTTGGCCACGGTCGTGGCGTCGCTGCCCCCGCTGTCGCCCGTCGGGCTGCAGTTCGCCTCTAGGTCGCGCGCCGCGGCCCTTGAGGCGGGCGGGGCCAGGGTGAGCCGCTGCCGCGCGCCGTCCCGGGGCGCTCCCAGCGCCCGCGTCTGGCTGGCTGGCGCCTGTGGCCCGCTCGGCAGGCCCTCCGGCCCGGGCGACAACACTTGCGAGTGCTTCGCAAGCGGCTCGGGCGCGGCATGCGCGGGCGCGCTGCCTCCTGCCGGCAGCGGCGTTGCCAGGCGGCGACAGTGCCCCTGATCGCCTACCGCCGCGGCGGGTCGCCGGGGCTCCCCCGCAGGGACGCTCTCGGGAGCCGAGGTGGCGACGGCGGCAGGCTGGCTCCTCTGGGGCTCGTGGAGGTCCTGAGGGTCTAGAGTGCCGGGGGTCTCGGTGAGCTCGTCGAGGGCCTGCGGGGCTGTTCTGGGGCTCGTGCTCGTAGTGGCTGAGGTACTGGTGAGGCCCATGACTGTGTGCTAGCTCGTGCTCTCATCTTTGCCAAACTTGTCGTGCTTGCAGTTTTCCGTATCCACGTGCTTGCAATAGTGCGTCGTCTTGGTGCGTGCATTATCTTGCTCATGTACATGCTGGGGTAGCCTGCGATTCACTGGTACTTTGCCGTAGTCCCCAGAAGCCTCCCAAGTGTGCACCAGGGTCTTACCGGGGTCGTAGCTCGGGTCGCACAGCCTAGAGCCCTCGTCACTCGGGTTGAGCTCGTTCGGGACCCATCTCACGTGCAGGCGCTTGTTGAGGGAGAGGCACAGGGCGACAGCCCGACGAATGCATGCGAGGACAGTAAAGTTTTTTGCTCTCCTCCTCTCAAAGCAGAGCACGGCGGGCAGGTTGTCGCTCACGACGGCATGCTCGCCCTCTCGCGGTGACAGGCTGCACAATATCTCTACAGCTCGCAAGAGGGCACGTGATTCGTAGACCAGAATGTCCTCCGAAGTATTAAGCCACCCACGGGCGACTATCTCAGTCCAGCGGGACCCTGAGAAGATCTCCGCTGCCATCTCTTTGAAAGTTCTGTCAAGCCCCCGCTGGGTCTGGGGCGCAACCTCGTCATGCTCACCAAGATCGGCAGCATCTTTGAACGTCCCGGCACTGGTCATCACGATGCCGTTGCTGGCGAAGAAGTGGGCCCGAGCGGAATGGCCGCCCAGGCGGCGGAAACGGGATCGCTCCTGCACCCGCCCGATCTCCTTCACAGCGGCCGGCTCGAACAGCGAGGCGCTCACCGCGTAGCCGTGCTCCGACGCGTCGGAGAGGCAGACCAGCGGGCACCGCGGGAGCGCCCAGTCGCCGCGCAGCAAGGGCATCAGGCCCTGGAAGGCGACCATCTCGGCCCGCGCCGTGGGCCAGAGCGGCGCGGCCTCCTGGTAGTGGACCGCTATGAACTTGTACATCGCGTTGAAGACCGGGAGGAGGTCGCGGTTGCACATGGCGCAGTAAGTGCAGTGACCGAGGACGATCTCCCATGTCCAGCCTGGCAGGGCTCTGCAGCTCAGGGCCCGCGAGACACCTTGTCGCACCCGCCAGTAGCGTTTCGCCGTGAGCCTGGTGGTCAGCGAGACTCCGTCCAGCACGCAACCCAGCGTCACGCCGCGGCCCCTCTGAATGTCCGTCTCGTGCGCCCTCGGGCCCGCGGCGTCGAACCTCGTGGTGGCGGCGGCAAGGCTCGAGGACACCTCTGCGCCGTCGAAGCCCATCACCCCGTGGTTGTCGACGTGCGTATACTGAGCGCCTCCTCCCTCGGCCAGCTGGGCCGACGGCCGAAGCACTGTCGTCGGGCCCCGGTCGCTCATGCGGTGGGCCCGCTCTAGTCCGGGCGTGGCGTCCATGACGGCCTCGCCCACCTCCTGGCAGAAATAGAGCGACCAGGTGAACCCCATCGGCAGGGCGGCACAGGCTGGCACCAGGCGGCGGTCGGGAGGCGCCGCACTGTCCCCGACGGCCCTGCCGGTCACCCCGATCTCCTGCGCTGTCACGGGGCGGAGGCAGAAATAGGAGGAGAGCCCACGGTCGATCCTGAACCGATGAAAGGCGTCGCTGATGTCGGAGGTGCCCAGCGTGAAACCGAGGTCCGGCTGGCCACCGCACTCTACGCCCTCCACCTCGATGCCGGCGAGCCCCTCGGCCGTCACGAGCGATACCCCAGGGGGCGAAGTGAAATGCAGGTTGCTGCGCCGAGCATCTATGATAAGGCGCAGTTGGTCTGACTTCTTGGAGACTCAAAAAGATCCCGACGTCCTCGCGCCGCTCACTCTCGTCCAGGAGCACCAGAAGGCCCTTGGCGTAGAGGAGCTTCACCAGGCGGACGTAGAGTCTGCGGTTGCGAGCCAGAGAAGGGTCCCAGTGAGGAATGACATCACACTCATCAAGGCGACAACGTAAACTAGCTAGCCTCATCTAGAAGCATCCGAGAAAAACCGTCTTCGAGAAAATGGCGTGCATGGGCAGGGGCGATGTCCAACAGCCGTTGCCCTCCCACCGCGGTCTTAGGTAAAGATATCTGCCCCATATTGCGAAGACGTCCGACTTTCCGTCCGGCCGACTCGTCGTAGACACTGCGGCCGTGCAGCAGCTCAGAAAAGGCCGCTCGCGGGGAAGGGATCGCGGTCTCCATCGGCGGCATGCGCTCAGCCACGCATTCCAGGGTCCGCGCGTGCACCTTCATCTGGTCAAAATTCGGCCTGTCGCATGTGGAGGTGCGGTTCATCAACCAATTCAAGGCGTCGACGACCTCGTCGAAGTCCTGGCAGGCTCGCCTGGCGAGCTGAGCAGCCCCACGGCCCTGGAGCTGCGGCCGGTCCCCCTCATGGTCGCTCAGCCTCGGCATGGGGGGACACCGACAGCAGGTCCACCCCGACTTCGCGACTGGGCTGTGCGCAACCGGCGGGACGCCCAAACCCGCCGGCGGGAGCAGTCATGCCCCCTCGGGCGCGGTGGGCCTCCCACCGCGCCCAGCCGCCCCACGCCCGCCGCCGTTTCCTGGAGCGCCGCGGCCGCGCCCGTCTGCGCCGCGGCCCCGGCCGTCGCCGCGGCCCCGCCCGCGCCCGTCGGCGCCGCCAGAGGGCCCACTCGACAGCCCCTCGCCGGCCTCCAGCGCCAGGGGGCGGGGCGCAGGGGGCCCGGCAGCCCGGCTCTTCCAGCTCTCCCGCTCCATCTCCTCCTTGTTGCGGCGGAAGAATGCGGTCCTCAAGGCTGGGTCCATCATGTCCATCGGGCCTGCCACGCCCATGTAGTGCCGCAGCCCGTCCCACATCGGGGGCTTGAGGGGGGCGCCCGAGTGGGCCTCGACGATCTGCGACACACGAAGACACAACACTTCAATGCTGGCCATGCTGGGTAGGTTGACCTGGTAGTAGCTTCCCGCGTAGAAGATCGAAGTGAGCAGGCACTTCATCTCGATGTAGCTGCGGTCCGTCTGGCTCAGCTGGCGGCCCCGCGCCCGCAGGTCCAACCGGAGCAGAGGGGGGCCGCAGCTCTGCTCCCAGCGCTTCGCCGTGTGCTCCACCGTGCTGAGGCCGCCCTCAAGCGGCAAGTCCTCGAACGTGTACTTCTTGGTCTCGCGGGCGACCTCGCGCCACGGCCTGTGGCGGTCTCCCTGCTCGTCGTGCTGAACCCACAGAGTCCTCGCGTCATCGACCGAAGCCGCCTCGCGCGCAGCCCCCGGGGGGGCGCCCCCAGCCTGCCTCTCAGGTCCTGATCGCCAGCGCTGGGGCCGGCGGCCTCGGCAGCTCCGCGCGCGGGGTCGGCCTCGCCGCCAGGTGGCAAGGCCGGCGGCGGCAGCGGCGGCCCCCCCGCGCGGGCGTCGGCGGGCGGGTCCCTCTCCACCAGCCCGAGCAGCTCCCTCGGGCGCCTGTCTCTGAAGGTGTCCGCCGCGTCGACGGGGATTGCCTCCACGAGCTGCCAAACGCCGACCTCCCTCACCATTGCGTGGTCGTCGTCCAGCCTGACACCGCCAGACTCCAGCGCCACCTCGGTTCCCAGACGAAGATGGATCTCCTCGGGATCAACCAGCGGCTCGTCACCAACGTGCACCTGCGGATCAGTCCTCGACCTGAGCACGGCGGCGCGCAGCTCCTCCCAGGTCAGCGGCTGCGCGAACCGGTAGGACGCGCCATGGGCCAAGGCGGGCGCCGTGCCATCCAGCGCGACGGTGAAGGCCCTGTTGCAGCCGTCGCCGACCGCACCCGACACGTCCTCGGCGCACCGGTCGCCGCCCGGCGTCAGCACCCACCAGTACATGCACCCCGCGAGGTGGAGCAGCACTCGCTCATGCCACACCGTGTCGCGTGGGTACCAGAGCCCGACTCGGCGCCCTGGCCGGGGCTCACTGCACCACGCCCCCACCACGACGAACGTGCCGTCCGCGGCCAAGGTCGTCGGGCCGCGGCGGCGGCGGGGGAGTGGGGCGATGATTCCGACGGGCTCGGGCCGCCACGCAGCAGCGCACCAAGATCACCGCCTCCCCGCAGGCGACCCCCCACGCCAAGATGAAGGCGAAGGGACAGCCCTCGCCCACGGCTGGGCCTGCCTCGGGCGCGGACGGCGCCGCACGGGCCCCCTCAGGCCCCAGGGGCGGCAGCCGCTCCAGCAGCGCCGCGGCCACCTCGTCGGCCGAGGGGCAGGTGGCTGGCGCCGGCGAGGAGTTCGCCGCCAGCCAGGGCCCGAGCTTCTGCGCCACGGCCGCGGCCACCGCGCCGGCGCTTGGCGCTGGCGGCGGAGGCGGCGCCGACGGCGCGGGCGGGGGCCACTGCGGCGCGTGGCACACGCAGGACGGGCAGCTGGTCGAGGCGGCAACCAGCGCCGCCAGCCAGCTCGTTGCCCAGCGCAGCCCGGCCCAGGCAGCGGGCGCCCCCACCGCGGCGCTCACCGCGAGCGTGGCGGCGCCGCCCGGGGCCATGGCCCAGCCCCACTCATGCACTTGAGAAAGATCAAAAGCCATGGAGCGACCCAGACAATCACGTGCAAGCGCTCCTATGAAAAACTCATGGGGGATTAATGATTTTGGCCTTTTCGGGCCTTCCTGGAGGCCCTCTTGGAGGCCTCTTGGGCAATCTCAGGGCCATCTTAGTGCCATCTTCGGCCGTCTTGGTGGGCCCCTGGCCCGTCCGACGCCGTCGGAAGCCGTTTGGGGGGGCTCTCTGAGCCGACTTGGGGCCCTCTTGGAATGCTCCAGGGCCGTCTTGGAGGCTATCTTGGGCGTCTTAGAACCCTCCTGGGCCGTCTTGGGGGCCTCTTGGAGCGTTCTGGGCCCATCTTGGAGGCCTCTTGGGCGATCTTTGGGCGATCTTTGGGGGCTCTTGGGCTGTATCGGGCCGACGAAGGCCGAAACGAAGCAAATGACAAAGTCCTTCAAACACCTATGGAACATTAGTGTCTTTGGCCTTTTTCTGGCCTTCCTGGAGGCCCTCGTGGAGGCCTCTTGGGCCGTCTTGGGCCAGCTTCGAACCAATTTTGGCTATCTTGGTGGGCTCCTGGCCCGTCTGACGCCGTCGGAAGCCGCTTGGGTGGCCTTTCTGGGCCGATTTGGGGCCCTGTTGTGGTGCTCCAAGGCCGTCTTAAATGCCATCTTGGGCGTATTGGAAGCCTCTTGGGTCGTCTTTGTGCCTTCTTGGGGCCGTCTTGGGGGCCTCTTGGGCAGTCCTGAGGCCATCTTGGAGGCCTCTTGGGCGCTGTGGGGGCGATCTTGGGGGCATCTTGGGACGCCCGCCGAAGCCCCAATGTTGACTCCGAGGTGTCCCAAAAGAGCCCCAAGAGCAAGAGGGGCCCGAGAGGGCTGCCAGACGGCCGCCAAAGCGCCCAAGCGAGCTCCAGGGGCACCCCTAAGAGGGCGCCAGGGGGCGATTTGAGAGGCTCCACTTGGGCAGTCCTGGTAGCTCCCCCCCTTTTTGACCGATATCCTCCAAGATGGCCCCCACACCGCCTCCTAGGCGCCCCTCTTCCCCCCCAAAAAAACAAACCCAAAACGCCCCCAAGACGCCCCCACGAGGTTCCCAAAAGGACCTCAAGAGGAGTCCCCCAAGACATCCCAAGAGGCCTTCAAGAGCCGCCCCCCAGGAGACATCCCAATCGAGTCCGCGAGGCATCAAAGAGGCCTCTGTTTCACTGAGGCTCCCCGAAATATGAAAATAACGTGTCGCTCCCGCGAGAAGCGGAACTTCCCTGGACATCGTTCCTGGATGGGCTGGTGCGAATCTCCTCTAAGGTTTGAAGGTATGGCCATGAACAACGGAGGAACACGCAAACGAAAACCCTACTTTGAAAAACAAACCTACCATACGTGCAGCTGCTACACAACTTCAAATATCGGATCAACGGGGTTAGCATAGTGTTATGTTGTAAAACGACCACCCGCAATCCGTGTAGCTGATGATGTTTGGCATGAACGTGCTCGGCGCGAAGCCGATAACCACATGTTTAAAACGACCCCGTTTCCGCGGCGCTAGAGTGCCACATGTTGACAACGACATGTGCTTCATCCGTATAACTGCTGGAACAGATCAAATCGAGTGTTCGTGGCGCTACAGCGAGAGTCACATACTAAAAACACGTCCTGTGTTCTATCCGTGTAAATGTTGCCTCGAAAACGGTTGCGCTCGGCTTCCATGCGGAAGCCACATTTTTACAACGATCTGTCCTCCATCGGTTCAGCTGCTGTGTGCTTCTCAGACGAATGCGCGCGGCTTGTAGGCGAGGGCCTCAGTTGGACCACATGTTAGAACGACCTGTGCTCCATGTGTGTGGCTGTTGGATCTGGGGCCCAAAGCGGGGAAACGGTCGGAGGCGAACGCCCAGCTCCCGCCCTGCCGACACGCCTGGTGGTCAGACGAGGCAGGGCCATCCACTGGTTCGCAGGGAGGAGGAGAACGGAGGAGGGGGGAGACGGAGGAGGAAGGGAAGACGAGGAGGAAGGGGAGGAGGGAGGAGGAGGGAGGAGGGAGGATGCGGTGCGAGAGCAAGGGACGAGGAGGGAAGGGGAGGTGAAAGCCAGGTCGGCGAGGGCGCACAGAACCCTCCCGGCAGGGTGGCGGACGCAGCAAGGCGGCCGCGCGTACGGAGATCGGCGGGGCGCCGGCGGGGAAAGGGCGAAGGGGGGGGGCTCGCAGAAGAGGGGCTGCGGCAGAGCGGGCGGGCGGGGCGCAAGCTGGCAGGGAGCGGCCCCCTCTGACAGTCGGGGCGTTGACCAAAGGAACCCTAGATAGGGAACGGGGCCCCCTTTTTTTCCACAAGCTGAACTTCCATTTCCGATCGAGAACACAAGGAAACTCCCAGGCAAGCCGCGAAACACTTGAGGAGCACGGAGCCCCTCCCCAACGAAAAGGGGTTCCTTCTTCAGCGCCTCGACTGTAAAAGGCGCAGCGCCTCTTACAAGGGACCGTCCTCTAGATGCCGTGCGCCTGCCGCGCCCCCCTTGGAAGGCCACCCCCCCTGACCGCGCAGCCCCCCCTCTGCGCGCTGTCAAGCGCGGCGCAGCGCTTCAAACGAGCGCGACGTCTGTCTGCACGGCTGCTGCAGCCGAAGAGATCAGGCCTCGCGCGAGCAGGCCTGCCCGAGGGGGGAGCGCGCGGGGGAGCATCCTTGGGGAAGGGGGGCGATATGGGGGGGGGAGTGCGGGCGGAGGCAGAGGGCGACAATGGCGGGAGGGTGGCAAGGGGTGGAAGGACGGAGGGGGGGGGGGGGGTGCGGAGGGGAGGGGAGGGGAGGGAACGAGGAGGGAGAGAGAGGGGGGGATCCATGTGGAGTGGGTCCTCCCCCTCTTCTGGACCGCCCCCCCCCCCCCCCCCCGCGGCCTCCCCCCCCCCTAAATGGCCCTCTGGATGCCTCGCCTGTCAATGCAAAGGGAAGCGAGGACAGGCTGGGCGGTAAGCACTACAGATGGGCTCTCAAAGGCGCGCGAAATGCACCTCCTCCCCCTCCTCCTCCTCCTCCTCCTCTTCCTCCTCCTCCTCCTCCTCGCCCTCCTCGTCCTACTTCTCTCGTCTCCACCCCGCTCCCCTTCTCCTTCTCTCTTTCTCATCCTCCGCCCTCTCAACCATTTCTCCTCCTCCTCCTCCTCCTCCTCGCCCTCCTCATCCTCCCCATCCTCGTCCCTACATGTTCCCGCCGTCCTCCTCGTCCTCCGCACGTGCTCCCCTCCTCCCCTCCTCTGATGGCTCGCTTCTTCCCGCTGGCTGCCATCATTATGTTGGCGCGTTATCTTTCTCTCTCGCTCTCTGCGCTTCCACCCTCAATACTCGAAGCTGAATCGGAAGCTCCTGCAGCCATTCGAATCCATTCAAAAGGATGGGGAGGATGGAGGTGGCGGGGACCGATTGGGGAGGCGGGTCCAGTCGCGGCAACGAGGGGAGCTCAGCCATGGCGAAGGAGGGTCAGCTGGATTTCCGACCATAGATTGGATGAGGAGGGAGTGCGACGGCAGTCCAGACATGGCTATGAGGTATACCTGAAGACATAAGTCAATCAATTCGCGCATAGAGAAGCAGGTCCTAATCCCCCATTCCTCCGCCTCCTCAAACTGTTCTGGCTCCTTCTCGCACGGACCTCGAAAACATATACGGCAAGAGGGCATTAGATAATGAACTCTTGGATCGGGAACCCAAGGTCTGAAACACGGTGGAACGCAAATTGAAGCCTGGGCATGGATCTCACCGCCGCCCTCATCAGATAAGCACTCCTAAAGGGTCTGCGTTCTCTTGGGCACATTCCTTATCCGACTCCCCCAATGCAGACCACTGCTTGGTAGCAAGGCTTGGCGAGCAAAATATTCCGCGCGGACCTTCGAATTATTATGTTTACGTAACTGTTCGTTCCCCTACACATTCCTTGACCGACTCCCCCACTGCAGAACGATGCTTGCTAGCAACGTTTGGCAATCCAAGACGCCCGCGGATCTCAGAGTTTCTATGTTTATGTCATTGTTCGTTCCCCTGCACATTCCTTACCCGACTCGCCCATTGCAGAACACTGCTTGCTAGCAACGTTTGGCGATCTAGTAAATCCGCGACGCCCTTAGAGTTGTTGTGATTGTGTCATTGGTCGTCCCCCTACACATTCCTTAACTGACTCCCCCACTGCAGAACACTGCTTGCTGACAACGTCTGGCGATCCGAGAAATCCGCGCGGACCTCCGAGTTTGATGTTTACATCATTGTTCGTTCCCCTACACATTCCTTATCCGACCCCCCCCCTGCAGAACACTGATTGCTAGCAATGTTTGGCGATCCGAGAAATCCGCACGAACATCAGAGTTTTTATGCTTACCTCATTGTTCGTTCCCCTACACATTCCTTACCCGACCCCCCCCCCACTGCAGAACACTGCTTACCAACAACGTTTGGCGAGCCAAGAAATCCGCGCGGACCGCAGAGTTTTTATGTTTACATCATTGTTCGCCCCCCATACGCATTCCTTAGCCGACACCCCCCAACGCAGAGCACTGCTTGCTAGCAACGTTTGGCGACCCAGGACATCCGCGCGGACCCCCGATGGTGTATGCTTACGTTAGTGTCCGTTCCCCTACACATTCCCTAACCGACCCCCCACTGCAGGACACTGCTTGCCAACAACTTTTGGGGATCCAAAGAATCCCCGCGGACCTCAGAACTTGTGTGTTTATGTCATTGCTCGGTCCCCTATATATTCCTTAACCGACTCCCCCGCTGCAGGACACTGCTTGCTAGCCACGTTTGGCGATCCAAGCAATCCGCGCGGACCTCCGAGCTGTTGTGAGTATGCTATTGTTCGTTCCCTACACATTCCTTGACCGACTCCCCCACAACATGCCGCTTCTTGCTGGCATTGTTTGACGATCCAAGAAGCCCACGCGGACCTCAGGGTTTTGATGTTTACGTCATTGCTCGTGCCCCTACACATTCCTTCACCGACTCCCCCACTGCAGAACACTGCTTGCTAGCAACGTTTGGCGATCCCAGAAATCCGCGCGGACCTCTGAGTCATTATGTTTACGTTATTGTTCGTTCCCCTACACATTCCTTGACCGACTCCCCCACTGCAGAACACTGCTTGCTAACAACGTGTGGCGATCCAAGAAACCCGCGCGGACCTCATAGTTTGTATGTGTACGTCATTGTTGGTTCCCCTGCATATTCCTTAACCGACTCGCCCACGGCAGAACACTGCTTGTTAGCAACGTGTGGCGAGCTAGCACATTCGCGAAGACCTTAGAGTTTGTGTGTGTGTGTGTGCAATTGGTCGATCCCCTACACATTCCTTAACTGACCCCCCCCCCCACTGCAGAACACTGCTTGGTGACAACGTTTGGCGATCCGAGAAATCCGCGCGGACCTCCGAGGTTTGATGTTTACGTCATTGTTCGTTCCCCTACACATTCCTAACCGACTCCCCCACTGCAGAACACTGCTTGCTAACAACCTTTAGCGATGCAAGAACTCCGCGCGGACCTCCGAATTTTGATATTTACATCATTGTTCGTTCCTCTACACATTCCTTATCCGACTCCCCCCCCTGCAGAACACTGCTTGCTAGCAACGTTTGGCGATCCAACACATCCGCACGAACCTCCGAATTTTTATGCTTACCTCATTGTTCGTTCCCCTACACATTCCTTAACCGCCCCCCCCCACTGCAGAACACTGCTTGCCAGCAACGTTTGGCGATCCAAGAAATCCGCGCGGACCTCCGAATTTTGATGTTCACGTCATTGTACGTTCCCCTAAACATACCTTAACCGACTCCCCCACTGCATGCCACTGCTTGCTAACAACTTTTGGCGATCCAGTAAATCCGCGCGGACCTCCGCATTTGTATGTTCACGTCATTGTACGTTCCCCTACACATTCCTTAACCGACTCCCCCACTGCAGAACACTGTTTGCTAGCAACGTTTGGCGCCCCACGACATCCGCGCGGACCTCAGGGTTTTTGTGTTTACGTCAGTGTTCATTCCCCAACGCATTCCCTAACCGATCCCCCACTGCAGAACACTGCTTGCTAGCAACGTTTGGCGATCCAAGGAATCGACGCAGAACTCCGAGCTTCGATGTTTACGTCATTGTTCGTTCCCCTGCACATTCCTTAATCGACTCCCCCACTGCCGAACACTGCTTGCCAGCAACGTTTGGCAATCCAAGAAATCCGCGCGGACCTCCGAGATGTTATGTTTGCGTCACTGTTCGTTCCCCTACACATTCCCTATCCGACTCCCCCGCTGCAGAACACTGCTTGCTGGCAACGTTTGGAGTTCCAAGACATCAGCGCAGACCTCCGAGTTTCGATGTTTACGACATTGTTCGTTCCCCTACACATTCCTTAACCGACTCCCCCACTGCAGAACACTGCTTGCTAGCAGCGTTTGGCGATCCAAAACATTCGCGCGGACCTCCGAGTTATTATGTTTACGGCGTTGCTCGTTACCCTATACATTCCTTAACCGACACCTCCACTGCAGAACACTGCTTGCTAGCAACGTGTGGCGATCAAAGACATCCGCGCGGACCTCCGAGTTTTTATGTTAACGATCTGTTCGTTCCCCTGCACATTTTTTAACCGACTCCCCCACTGCAGAACACTGCTTGCTAGCAACGTTTGGCGATCCAAGAAATCCGCGCGGACCTCCGAGTTGTTATGATTACGTCATTGTCCGTTCCCCTACACATTCCTTAACCGACCCCCCCTTCTTCAACAAACTGTCTGCTAGCAACGTTTGGCGATCCGAGAAATCCGCGCGGACCTCCGAGTTTTGATGCTTACGTCATTGTTCGTTCCCCTACACATTCCCTAACCGACTCCTCCACTGCAAAACACTGCTTGCTAGCAACGTTTGGCGATCCAAGAAATCCGCGCGGACCTCCGAGTTTTTATGTTTATGTCACTGTTCGTTCCCCTACGCATTCCTTAACCGCCTCCCCCACTGCAGAACATTGCTTGCCAGCAACGTTTTGCGATCCAGTAAATCCGCGCGGACCTCCGATTTTTGTTATGTTTACGTCATTGCTCGTTCCCCTACACATTCTTTAACCGACTCCCCCACTGCAGAGCACTGCTTGCTAGCCACGTTTGGCGATCCAAGACATCAGCGCAGACCTCCGAATCTCGATGTTTACGTCATTGTTCGTTTCCCTTCAACCCTCGTCGAAATTAAACGCAAGTTTTTCCACCCCCGTCGCCCCCAAATTTCAATGTTCATCGACAGGCGCATCGCGGCCGGCGGGGTCCGGAGAAAATCTCGGAGTCGCCGGCGTCGGCGTGAACATTGAAAATGGGGGTCGGGGGGCGCCGCCAGGTCGCGGCTAAAACTTGCGTTCAATTTCGACGAGGGATGTAGACATTCCTTAAACCGACTCCCCCACTGCAGAGGGCCAGGGACGTAATGAAATAAGAAGAGGCGCCATGAAATCAGCGGAAAAATTATGGCCCCCGCCATGATATCCACCCCCCCTGGTCATCACCCCCCTCCTTGCCGCCCCCGAAGAACACTGCCGGCAGCGCTTGACGACTGCAGGCGCCTGGGCCGCCCTGCTTCTCGGGTCGGGCGAAAGGGGGGGATAGCAAAGGGGGGCTTTGAGAATCAGCTCACGTGGCTGATTTTCCCGGCGCCTCCCGGCGCAGGAGGCGCCCATGCATCGAGGAATGGGCCCGGCGGCGAGGCCGAAACCAACTGCATGCAGCAGATTTCGTAACCCCGCCTTTCCCAAACCTAAAACGACGCGAAGATCGGGACAAAATCGGATCGGGATGACTCGAAATCTCTGAGAAGCGGCGGGTTTGGAGGACGCATTGGGCGCCGCGGCCGCTCCAGAGCGCTCCGGAACGCTCTGAGAGCGCTCCGGAACGCTCTGGAGCGATTTATCCCGATCCTAGCCCTGTTTTAGGCCCCCTCGGGGGGAGGTTGGCCTCGGCACCGCTCGGACGTGTGCATTTTTCCTCGGCGAGGGCCATCGAGGAGCATCTTTGATTATTCAGCGAGAAAAAAAAAACACGCGCGAGATGGAAAAAAGCACAGGGAGTGGACGTCCGAGCGATGGCGAGTGGCGGGAGGTGCGCTGCCGACCGCTCTGAGAGCGATTTATCCCTGTTTTAACCCCCCCCCCTTTTAAAACCCTGTTTTAAAAACCCCCCCTAGCCCTGTTTTAAAACCCCCCCTTTCGCCCGACCCGAGCTTCGGCCTGCTCGCCGAGCGCTCTTGCGCTTCCGCAGGCGCCGGCCCGCGCAGCAGGTGCCGCGGCCCGCCCTGCCGCGGGGCGCTCCGCCGTGCGCCGCCTCGCCTTCTTCTGCTCCTCCTCCTCCTCCTCCTCCTCCTCCTCCTCCTCCTCCTCCTCCTCCTCCTCCTCCTCCTCCTCCCTCTCCTCCTCCTCTTCCTCCTCCTCCTCCTCTTCCTCCGCCTCCGCCTCCTCCTCCTCCCCCTCCCCCTCCCCCTCCCCCTCCTCCTCCTCCTCCCCCTCCCGGGCGTGGCGCCACGGCAGCATGCGAACTTCTACTGTAGGAGAAGAGAAAACCCCTGGCATCGCTCGGACGTCTATTCCCTGTGCTTTTTTTCGGTTTCGCGCGTGGCCTTTTCGCTAAATGATCAAGGATGCTCCTCGATCGCCCTCGCCGAGAAGAAATGCACACGTCCGAGCGATGCCAAGAGAAGAGAACACCACATAAACACCAACTTTTGGCGCTCCGCGCGAATTTCTTGGATTTGCGCTGGGCCCCCCTCCATGGCGCGCGGAGCGCGCCATGGGGCGGCGCCTGAGGCGCCGCCAGGGGGCCCTAGCGCAGATCCGAGAAATCCGCGCGGAGCGTCGAACGTCTATGCTTATGTGTGTTTTTTTCTTCGATCCTGAGCCTTTTCTCAGGGTGGAGGGCTCAGGGTGAGATCCATATGGGTTCTTGCACCCCGAAAATCAATCCGTCCGGTGATTCACCTCTTGCGGATTCGAGCCTCGAGAATCGATCGAAACGGCACTTCAGGATCTCGCCGTCTGCCCTCCCTCCCCCAAAAAAGCTCGGTTCTCGGAGGGGCGGGGGGGTCCTCGCTGCCCCCGCGCGTCAGCTGCAGAGCCGGTGATCCAGAGCGAAGTGGGAGCACAAGCACACGAATACCTGGGGACAGGTTTAATGGGGCTGACGTCAGCGGTTGATGGGGGTACTATGTGCCTTCACCAGTGGGGGGGGGGAGGCGACGATGAGGCGGACGAGGGGGAGGACGAAGGGGGGAGTGCAGAGGAGGAGAAGGAGGAGGAGGAGGAGGAGGAGGAGGAAGGTGTGGAGGAGTGTATACTTCTCCCCGACCGCTTGCCCCAGATGGAACCAGTCGCAATCACCCACCTGGCTGTCAAGCCGTCAGCGTCTGGTGGGGCGGGGAGTGGGTTCGAACGCAGGACGGACAGGAGGCCGAGTTGGCGAACACCCCCTGGGATTGAGGTGGTGACAGACAAGACGCTCTTTAAGTGGGACGAGCTGGCTCGGCGGGAATCCCAAGCCGCAAGTGCACCGACACCAAAGAAGACATCAGCTGCAGGGGCGACTGGGTGCTGGACATGACCTCCGCACCAGGCGAAGGTTGAGCAGGGACCGACCGTCTCGGCATCCCTATAGTCCTACCACGAAATGTTCTTAGGACCCGAACATATTCCAAGACCAAAAACAATGCTCTTATGACATAAGCCCGATGTGTTAAAATAAGACAGGCCCCGCCAGAAATGTTCTAAGAACATCTCGCGGAAACCACAAAAGGTTCTCAGAGCATTGTTCGGTGGGACTATAAGCGAGCCGGGACGCTTCGCCACTGCTCGAGAAGGGATCCGCACCCCCTGGGGGTCCGCTGAGCCGGCCGGAACTTCTTCACCAACGACAGGGAGCCGCGGTGGGGCTGTCACGACCAAGCGCCAGCGCGGTGCCGCACGCCGCGCAGGGGCCTGGGCCAGAGCCCTGGGCAAGGCGCCTGGCCCCTTTCCGCAGGCCGTGCCCGGTGGTCTGCCATTCCGGCCGCTAGGGCTCCCAACCTCGCGCTTCGCGCTCCGCGAAGCGCGAATAACCTCGCGCTCTCGCGCCGCCCCCCCCCCCCCAAGGGAGAAGAGGAGGACGAGGAGGAGGGGGAGGAGGAATGAGGCCCGCGGAGCGCGAAGCGCGCCCTCGTGGGAGCCCTTGAGCCACTGGCCGTGCCAGGCCGGGTGGAGTGCAGCACCGCTCCGATCGTCGGTGGCGCGCGAGTCGCGCTCCCCGAGGAGCTGCGAGCGGCAGCACGGGGAGGGAGAGCGCGCTGCCCGGCTGCCCAGGCGGCGCCCGCGCGCAGGGGAGCTGCCCGGGGCAGAGAAGAAAGAACAACAAACGCCATAGACATCAACTCTTGGGGCTCCGCGCGGATGTCTTGGGTGCGCGCGGCCGCGAGCGGCGGCGGTCACGACCATCTGCTCTGCACCGCGCCAGGCGGAGCGACTCCCAGCGGGGCCTCCCTGCGTCGTCGGGGTAAAAAAAGGTGGAATGGGAAAGCGCTTATATGAAGGAGCCCTGGGACACACAAATAAATACACACAAATAAAAGGATTCCCCATCTTTTCCTATATTTTCTGGGTTTTTGTCTTCCCCCCCACTTCCCATATTTTCCCATATTCTCTGGGGAATCGACGATTAATTGTGTCTGTGTGTTTTTTCTCCTCCTGATTATACTCTGCTCGACTGGAGCCTCTTCCGAGGCCGTCCGTGAAGGCATCTCGACGCCTTCCACCATGACTCTGAACAGGTCCAAACCGATGTCCATCGGAAACTTGCCTGGGAGGTCCAGGATGTCAGCGAAAGCACAAGCGAAGCTGGCATGCACTGGCACGTGATATCTGGGTGGACGAGACGCGATGGCCTGCAGCGATCTGCCTAGCTTAGGTAGTGGGCCCACCGATCTCACCATGCGAATAGAACAGCGAGGCGCGATAATGAAGTCAAGCTGTGAGCCCTTGTCCTGGCTGTTGACATAGAGTGGGCCTCCCCCTTTGAAACTGCTGATGACCTCCAGGTCGAACAACGAAATAAACAAGAAGAGAGCGCAAACCGCCGGATATCTGTGTCTGACCATGTCGTGTTGGTTGCCGAGTAATGGTGGAGCTATGGGTCTCCATTGCTCGGTACCCCCAAAGCCTGAAGTCCAAACCTGTATATTGGAAAACATATGTGCGCACCCTAGAAGGGACATGAAGTCAACCAGTTGGCAAGTGAAGCACGCGTCTGACAATAGATGTTGCCTCGCTGCCTTGCTGGGCAGAGGAAGATACAGTCGGCCCGTATCACAAGTATGCACGATAAGGATGTAAGGGCCTCGGAGAGCTGCTTCGAAGTTTCTCGAGCGGGGCGCGGCCAACGAAAGTGGTCAAGGATGGCCAAGGATGGCCGAGGAGGCAAGGATGCAAGGGTACCGTTGGGAAGGCTGCCCATCCTTGCTATGCAAGTTGACTGTACTTCACAAACGCCATGCCAATATCATAAAGTTTGGGTCGAACTCTAGCCGGAATGCCTCGTCCAGCTGCAGGCGCCACCCCACTCTAAACCACAGTTGGTCTCTCGCTCCTTGGTCCGCACGTGCTGAACACATTCGCGCGATTTGTCGCTGGGCGCCGATCTGGGCCGTCCTGCCTCAAGACGCCATCCACCGCCACCTTTTCTTATGTTGCATCCTCGGGGGACCTTGTCTGTCCCGTCGCGGCCCTGTCCGCGTCGAATCCGTGTCGAATCCATGTCGGACGCGTCGGATCCGTGTCGAATCCGTGTCGAATCCGCGTCGAATCCACGCCAAATCCGCGTCGAGTCCGCATCGAGCACGCGTCGGGCCCCCAAAAAGACACCAATTTTTGGGACAGGCGAGGTCCCCCGCAGATGCAACAGAACTTTTCGCCACGCATCAGCTCCAGTTCCTCCATGTAGTCGAGATGCTGTGCCGCGGAGGCGCACGAATTCAGCGCTGTGGATGGCCTCCGCGAATAACTTCCTCGAGGCGGCTGGCCGCGCTCGCATGCGTAGCACTCCTTCGAAGTGCGCAAGTGTTGTGCACGTTCCCCAGTTAGAGGGCAAAAAAATCCACCCCCGGGATAACCACCCCGACACGCGAAGCCGTTTACGACAGGCCCCCACTGAAGGAATCGAACAGGGCGGGGCTGTCTTAGTAAACGCCCAAGGCCGCTTCATAAACGCCAATTGTCCGGTCCGGGTAGTTTTTCCTCCCTTGACCAATTACAGCGTCGCCGAAGACTCAATGCGGATGGCCGAAGCCGCAGTGTCTCTAAGTGCCCCCTCCAGTCTGAAGCAAGGAGGACCAAGAGAGAAACGCCGCACAAGCTTCATCAGCGCCGAAGGTGTAGCAGGGAGGGCCACGTTCGGTACGGTATCGGACTGCGCGGCCCTGGAGAGCCAGCGCGTAGAGGGAGGAGGAGGAGGAGGAGGAGGAGGAGGAGGAGGAGGAGGAGGAGCAGGAGGAGGAGGAGGAGGAGGAGGAGGAGGAGGAGGAGGGGGAGAAGGAGGAGGAGCAGGAGGAGGAGGGGAGGAGGAGCAGGAGGAGCAGGAGGAGGAGGAGGGCGGAAGAGGATCAAGGCAGACGAGAAGCCCCGCGGGGACCAGCCACAGACAGTCGAGGGGGAACTCCCGCAGTCAACCAACCACCGTCCAAGCTCCATGAAGGGGCCCCAGGACACACAAATAAATACACACAAATCAAATGATGCCCCATATTTCCTTATATTTTCTGCATGTTTGTCTTCCCCCCCCAATTCCCATGTCTTCCCATATTTTCTGGGGAATGGAGGATTAATTGTGTCTGTGTGTTTCTTTCCCTCCTGACTCTACCCTGAACCAAAGGGGGAGTGCCGAGCCCCACCCCAGACCACCCCGACCAGATCAGCCCGCCGCCCGCGGCCAACAGAAGAAGAAGCCACGGCATGAACAGAAACCTTTGGCGCTCCGCGCAGATTTCTTGGATCTGCGCTGGACCCCCCTCCCTGGAGCGCGGAGCGCGCCAGGGTGGCGCCCGAGGCGCCGCTGGGGTGGCCCGGCGCGGATCCAAGAAATCCGCGCGGAGCGCCAAAAGTTTATGTCGATGGTGTTTCTCTTCTTCGAGCCAACCCACCAACCACATGGAGGGACGCCAAACCGCGAACCGTCGAAGCTGGTCCCCGCCCGACCATCATTCCACGGACCAGCCCGTGGTGCACCCCGACCCAGTGTGTGTGTGTGTGTGTATGTGTGTGTGTGGTGTGTGTGTGTGCAGAGACCCCCTTCTGGCGTCGCCCGTGAGGACCACCCACAGGACGACGAGGACGCCGGCGGACACCATCTTGTTGTACTTCGGCCCGCCAAGCTCGCCGCCAAGGTGCCTCGGACTCCTCCTGTTCCTGCTTCCTGCTTCTTCCTTCCCCTCCCTCCTCTTCCCTGTCCTCGCCTTCGACGCCCACGGAGCCTCCGGCGGTAGTAGAGCATGCCCATGGCCACGAGTGCGCAGCAAGTGAAGACGGCAACGCTGGGGACGAGCGCGCCCTTCCTGACAACGAACGCACCTTCACGGAAACGCGATTGGATCGGGACCAAAGATTCTACACCCAAAGGTGGTGCGTATTTGCTCAGCCATTTCGCATCGGGCTCGGAATAAGACCAGTAAAGCGAACCCATCGTCCATGGCAGGCCCAATCCAAGAAAGACATTGACAGAGTTGCTGCCCGTAACGTTGCCAACCGATGCGTCTGCGGTGGGATCTTGCACGGCTGCCGTTCTTGACGCGAAAGTGTCGGGCAAGGAGGTGCCGAGCGCCACAAATGTGATCGCGGTGACCTCGTCTGGGAGGCCAAGAACGCAGCCAAGGAGTGCGGCCATGTCGCCGATGATGGCGGTGACGAGCGCGATCATCAGCAAGGAGCACATGAAACTGAGCCTAGGGAGCCACCCATCCCAGCACACACTGAAGGGGCCCTGGGACACACAAATAAGTAGACACAAATAACAGGATTCCCTATATTTTCCCGTATTTTCTGGGTTTTCGTCTTCCCCCCCACTTCCCATATTTTCTTATATTTTCAGGGGAATCGACGATTCATTGTGTCTGTGTGTTTTTACCCCTCCTCACACACGGCGTACTTCCGAAAGCGCCTTTTGCAAGGGCTCGGAAGCCCCCAAGAGGTCCCCAGGCCAGGTCCCCACGAGGCCTCCAAGAGGCCCCCAGGATGCCCCCAAGATGTCTCCAAGAGGCCCCTCAAAGACAACCCAAGAGACCCCAAGAGATCCTAAGAAGCCTCTAAGAAGCCTTCTGTGCACGACCCAGGCACGGTGGCAGGACGGACCGAATGCAACTAGATCCGCCGACCCCTGTTGCTTACAAAATGGTGCTTGGCCTGCCGAAATCCCACCAGCCCTCTGGGCGTAGGTGGTCCAGGGCAGCTTCTCTTCCAACCCCCGTCCTCCCCTTCGGGGAGGGGTCTATCGCTGTTCCTTATTAATATGCACCCCCTCCCCCACGCGGCCGGCGGCCAACCCGGAACCATGCCGACTCCATGCGGGCCCGCTCCCCACCATTGCTGTCAAACAACAATGCAAGCCGCACTCTGCCTCCACATTTGGAGCATGCGCGGCCAACCTGATGCGCCCGCCCCCACCATCCCTGTCAAAAAACAATGCAGAATACACTTTGGGGCAAAATCTTGAGCTAAATTCGTGAGGCCCGCGAGTATTGTTTTGACCGGGGCGGCGGGGGGTTCAGCATATTCCCTGCTGTGCGCCAGGCTACCATCGCTGACAAAAAACAGTACAACACGCACCTCGCGGCTAAATCTGGATCATGCGCGGCCATCCCGCGTGGCGCGTGGCCTGCTGTGCGCAGGCCCGCCAGACACAACGATGGGCATTGGCTTTCGGCAGCGATGGCTGGGGCCGACACGACTCCCGATGCGTGCTGTCACGTGCGCAGGCGCACCTGACGCACCCTGCACCTGCCCCGAGCGTGGCGCACCCGGCGCGGAGGAGGAGGGGGAGGGGGAGGGGGAGGGGAGGAGGAGGAGGAGGAGGGGGAGGGGAGGAGGAGGAGGGGAGGAGGAGGAGGAGGAGGAGGAGGAGGAGGAGGAGGGAGGAGGAGCAGGAGGAGGAGGTTCAAAGTGGCACACCCGGTGCACCCGGGGCACGTGGCGCACCCGGCGCACCAGGCGTGCCCGACACGCTCGGGCCCAGGGGTGCCTAGGCGCGCGCGGCGCCCCTGGCGCGCGCGGCGCCCCCGGCCCGAGCGTGGCGCGCCCGGGGTCGGCTTTGGTTCCCAGCAGCTGCCCATGCAAAGACGACCGCTGAACATGCTCAGGCTCGGGTGTTACTGCAGGGGCCCCAGGGACACACAAAGAAATACACACAAGTAAAAAAAGGCTTCCCCATATTTCCCTATATTTTCTGGGTTTTCGTCTCCCCCCCCACTTCCCATATTTTCCCATATTTTCAGGGGAATCGACGATTCATTGTGTCTGTGTGTTTTTACCCCTTCTGAGTTACTTCTGTGTTGTGAGGGCGGGTGGGAGTGAGCTAGACGGCTTGCGGGCGGGTGGGTACCTTGACCCCTCCCCATTACCCCCTCCCCTGGCCCTGGACGGGGCCGGCCGCGAGGTGTCAGCGGGTACTTGTTTGCCCAAGAAGGCTCCAAGAGCGCCTCGGAGAGCCCAGGATGATCTCCAAGCTGACCCCAACCAGCCCAAATCGCCCCAACCAGCCCAAATCGCCTGAAGATGGTCCCCACAATGCTCCAAGAGGCCCCAAGGCCGCCCCAAGACGGCTCCAAGAGGCCTCCGAGACCCCTACAGAAGCATCCAAGAAGCCAACAACCGTCAACAAACTAAGGAACATTCATGATTGTTGCATCGTCGCCCGTTCGCTGTCGATAGCCTTCCGAAGCCTCAAGATGCCTCCAAGATGGCCCAAGCGAGCCCCAAGAGAGGCCCGAGAGAGCCCGAAGACGGCCCCCAAGTGCCAGAGAGCGCTCCAAGACCGCCCCGAGAGCGCCCCACGACACGATTTTTGGGGCTCCCCAGGAGGGGGGAGCGGGGGGGGGGGGGGGCGAATTGGAGCTCCCCTCTTTTTTGATCGATGTCCTCCAAGATGGCCCCAAGAGCGCACTTAAAATCCCCAAGAGCGCCGCAAGAGGGCCACAAGAGGCGCCCAGGCGGCTCCAAGAGGCCTCCAAGAGGCTCCCAAGAGACCCCCAAGAGACCATCCCCGAAACACCCAAGACGCTCAAAGACGTTCGTGGGTCCGCCAAGATACTCCCCAGACGCTTCAAGAGGCCTCTAACAAGCTTCCAAGAGACATCCGAGGAGACTCCGAGAGGCATTCAAGAGGCTTATGGCTCTTCTGCTCGCTTTTCCTTATCCCCCGCCTTCTCCGCATACTCTCCCTCCTCCTCCCTCCTCCCCCTCCCCCACTTCCTCCTCCTTCTCCTCCTCTTCCTCCTCCTCCTCCTCCTTGTCCATTTTCTCCTCCTCCTCCTCCTCCTTCTCCTCCTCGTCCTCCTTCTCCTGCTCCTCCTCATCAGCAAATTGATCATCCTCCCCCGTCCTCCCTCATCCATCCTCCTCCTTCCTCGAACGATGACGGCTGTCCCCATCTTTGCTTCTACACGTCCTTGATCGTCTCAACTCGCCTGGGCGTCGGTTTTGGATGGGCTGGGGGATACTTTTTTTTGGCCGCGGGCAGACGCGTGAAGCAGTCTCCGAGAGGGGGTCCGGGGCACGGGCCAGCCTAATTGGCTACTGAGCGACGCGCAAGCCGGCCGGGCCAGCACTCAGAAGCGGCTGCCGCGGGGCTGCTGCTGGGGGGAGCTGGCTGGGTGGTCTGCAGACGCCCAGGGTAGCTGGTGCGGCTGGGGGGATACTTTTTCGGTCGCGGCCGCGAGAGCGCAGGCGGCGACAGAAGCTGTAGCTGGGGGGATACGCGAAGCGTTTAGAATTTTGAAAACTTACCTAACAGCGATTCGCTGGAGGGCTCTGGTAATATCAACAAGACGCTGCAGAAGAACTCCAGAAGTGGACGGGCGGCCCTGCACCGCCCGTCCTGGCAGCCCTTGCGCCCGAGGCTTCCCCACAACTTACTCAGGAACCGTGCCTCCTCCTCCTCCTCTTCCTCCTCCTCCTCCTCCTCCTCTTCTCCCTCCCTCCTCCTCCTCCTCCTCCTCCTCCTCCTCCTCCTCCTCCTCCTCCTCCTCGCCTCAGTGCTGGCTACATTCTTGTTCCGCACGGCCAGGATGCCTCGAGCCAAATAACTACGATGCACATGACCGTGCGCTTCCTGGGAATCCCCAAGAATGCCTGGGAATGCACGCACTCACTGGCCATCATCCGACTCCTCGACACGCCTCTTCACCTTTGCTGTGATCAAGGTGCTGTGCTGGGGTGACTTTTACTATGCCACAAATTCCCAATGGCCACCGGCCCAACCCGCCGGCCACCCGGGCGAACTACGTCCCGTGAGCTTTTCCGCCCGAGATGCCTCCATGACGGCTTCCAAAACGGCGAGGGGGGCCCAAGATGGCCCTAAGACGGCCCCAGCTGGCCTCAAGACGGCCCACTCGGCCCCCGATACGACCTATGAGGGCTCCAAGAGGACTTCCAAGAGGGCACGAAGAGACCCAAGTCATGGATTATCTTGCATTTTGTGATGCTTTTCGCCTCATCGCCTGTTTGAGCTTCCGTCGGCCGATGACGGCCCCAGAGACCTCCAGGAGAGCCCCACCAGAAGGGAGACTTTTGGGAGCTGCCCGTGGCGGGGAGGGTCTCAATTCAACACGTTAGATGGTCCAGGCCATCTGGGCCTACCACCCTTGCACTCAAACGTGCAGTACTAGTCTTTGCGCGCCAGGAGCCAGCCACCGCAGTAGTCGGTTGGCGGCACGAATGCGAAGAGCAGCTTCCAGGGAAGGGTGATGAAGTGCATGGCGTAGTCTGCTGCGCTGGGCTGCTCTACCGCCGACGATATCTCCGATAACGTCACGCCAGCCTGCATCGACCGTCCTCCTTCGGAGGCGGGATTGGGCTCATCCGGGGCCGAGCCATTGACGTACAGCGCGCTCATGAACTGGTCCCTCCAGTTGGAGTGCCCGAGCCGAGACTTGTCCCACTTCCGCTGGAGCTTCTGCCAGACGTGATCCACGCGCTCCTGCCGCGGGGGATCTCACGGAACGCACGCGCCTGCCGCGGCCTGTCTCCTTTTGGTTTCCTCACGGAGGGAGGGAGTGGAAGAGTACAGCCAAAATCGTCAGTAAGGACGCAAGGTCAGGATGCGAGGTCCTTGGACCTTCCAAGTTGGACGCCCTTGGATGTCGAAACTGGCCAAGGGTTGGCCGAGGATGCAAGGATGCAAGGATGCAAAGATGCAAGTACCGTGTCCTTACCATGGAACTAGACTGTATGCACGAGCCCCCAGCAACCATGAAGGGAGGACGTACAATCGCAGGCCCCTAGAGTCACCTGAAGGTGTTATGACACATCAGTGGTACGCATTGCACGCGCACAGACGCGCGAGCGCATGCCCGACGGAGAAAAATATAATATGAGTAGGAGGACGAGAAGCGAGGAACAGGGGAGGAAGGAAGAAGGGATGAGGACGACGAGGGATGGGAGAGGGAAGCGAGAAGAGATGGAGGGCAAGGAGGACGGAGGGGGGGAGGAAGGGAAGGATAGGGAAGGGACAGGACGGAACTCTCTGTGTACATATATATATATATATATATATATATGTGTGTACCGAGAGAGAGAGAGAGAGTGAGAGAGAGAGTGTGTGAGAGAGAGAGAGAACAAGAAACAAAAAACAGGGTGGAAGAGAGACATTCGGCAAGAACGAATCTGGGCGGGGCACACGCCCAGGCTTGGATACCCTTCTGGCGCCTTGGCCGCCTCCCCGCTGCACTCGATGAAGACCGACAGGATGCAGCTGTTGTCCTTGCCCCCGTCGCACTCGGGGTCGAACGAGGCGCCGCCCTGCTGGCGACTGCTGCTCCTCTTCCTGCTTCATCCCTGCGCCCACCTCTGGCACTCCTCCTCCTTCTCCTCCTTCCTCCTCCTCCTCCTCATTCTTCTTCTTCTTCTTCCTCCTCCTCCTCCTCCTCCTCCGGCGGAAGGACTCCAGCGCCGTATTCAGTATGTATTGGATGTTCTTGGTGCGACGTGCGAAGTCACGCTCGACGACCACTGCTCGACCCCGCCCACAGAAACATACGTGGTGGTGCTCCCCAACGATGGGTATCCTCGATACAGCGCCCTACTCCCCTCCAGTTTCAAGTGTCCTTCCTCCTCCCCCTCCTCCTCCTCCTCCTCCTCCTTCTCCTCCTCCCTCCTCCCTCCTCCTCCTCCTCCTCCTCCTCCTCCTCCTCCTCCTCCTCCTCCGCCTGCTTCTCCCTCCTCCAGCCTCCCTCCTCATCGTGTTCCTCCTTGTTCCTCCCTCCGGCGTCCTCATCCATGCTCTTTCTGTAAAGTATGATCTCAACTGTCTCTCCTCTTCGTCCTCGTCCTCGTCCTCGTCTTTGTCCGTGTGGTCATCGTCCTCCCCCCCAATCCTCCTCGTCCTCCTCCTTCTGCCATGTCCACCCACGCCAAGACGAATCCACAATATATCCACCGCAAGAGGCCCAATTCTCAAATTCGCTGAGTTTTCCTCGGTTCAAGGTTGGATGTCTTGCTTCTCGGTTGCGATCGAAGACGTCCAAGGTACCCTGAACCAATCAATTCTTGATCGCTCGCGCACTCCACTTCGCAATCAATAAGCGTGGTGCGATTGAACACGCGATCTTTCGACCTTGATCCGACAGAAGGACAAGCACTTCTACACGTAAGGCACCCGCACCTATCTGGCGCAATATGGATGTCTGAACTGTCCGCTCAAGATGGCCCCAATGATCAGACTGATAAGGCTAAACCCCCTCCCGAATAGTGGAATACGGTTTCTGCCACTGCCACAGCCATACCACGAAACCCATGGAGATCGGATGATAAACTTGCACTTTGAAGAACACTCCTTCGGGCCATCTTGGGAGCCTCTCGGAGGCCTCATGGGAGCATCTTGGAGTTTGGGCTCTGGGGAAAGGCTTTCAACGCCCCTTTGATCTCCCCCTCTTGGGGCCCTCCTGGGGACCAACTGGGCAATCTCCTGGGCTTCTTATGCCGCTTTTCGGCGATCTTGGGGCCGTCGACGGGCCCTCTCGGGAGCTGTTTTGGCTGCATTGGGGCGATACTGCGCGGTTGGAAGCCAGAAAAGGCAACAGGGGAAAAACCCTTCAGCACATACAAAAAAACAGTGATGCTGTGTACCCCTTGGGACCTTCATGGGGGGTTCTCTTGTGGCCCTCTCGGGGCGTGTTGGGAGCCTCTTGGCCGTATGGAAACCATGTTGTGCAATCTTGGAGAGTTCGTGGGCCGCCTCGGAACACTCTTGGACCGTATAAGGGACCTCTTGGGTCCCGTTTGGCTCGTCTTTGAATTCTCGTGCCCATGGAAAGTCACGCGACGCACCCCGCACAGTCATGCGGACGGCCCAATGCTCACGCGGGGCGCCCACGGACGCATGCGATAACCCTGGGGAAATCCGCCAATGGGGGTATGGGCCCATGTAACAGTACTTGCCTCACTAAATGTTGAAGCATAAAGGATTGTTGGAGACGAAAAGAGACTTCGTGCTTAGCGGCACGGAGGCCGAGTTCTACATCACACACATACATGCGTATTATATATATATATATATATATATATCTGTTTGTATGTAAATATATGTAATCACATGTATATTCACGCGTCGTTTAGGAAGCTCAGCATGTAAGCATCCATGCATGCCTGCATCCATCCATACCTACCGATCTACCTACTGACATACCTACGTACAGCCATCCATCCATACATCCAACCACCCATACTTACCTACATACTTACGTTCATGTATATTATATATACAATCATACATACATACATACATACATACATACATACATACATACATGCATGCATGCATGCATGCATGCATACATCCATCCATCCATCCATCCATCCATCCATCCATCCATCCATCCATCCATCCATACATACATACATACAAACATACATACATACATACATACATACATACATACACACACATACGTACATACATACATACAAACATACACACGTGCACACATGCATCCGTACACACATGCATACATGCATGCATACATACAGACACGCATACATACATACTGACAAGCATACACAGATGCGTACACCACAAACCAACCAAATAAAGCCGAGGCTTTGACTGCGACAATGTTTTCAATACTCACCAGAACTCGGACCAATTTGTGACGCACCCCTCGCTCCTCCTCCTCCTCCTCCTCCTCCTCCTCCTCCTCCTCCTCCTCCTCCTCCTCCTCTTCCTCCTCCTCAACCACCTCCTGTTCCTACTGCGCTTCCACATGCTTCGTCTCTGCATCCGGAGAAAGCGGCAGAGGCGGATGCAATTGGAGCGAAGTGGAACAAACCTGGGGGGACTGGGGTGGGTGGGAGGAAGCGGGAAGGGTGGGGCCACGAGGGGGAGGCTGGTGAATGGGGGAGGAGAAGGAGGAGGCGGAGGAGAAGGAGGAGGCGGCGGAGGAGGAGGAGGAGGCGGAGGCGGAGGAGGAGGCGAAGGAGGAGGAGGAGGAGGAGGAGGAGGAGAAGGAACAGGAACAGGAGGAGGAAGAGGAGGAGGAGGAGGAGGAGGAGGAGGAGGAGGAGGAGGAGGTTTGCTGCGAGAACCCGCCTGGCAGATCCCTGCCCCAGCCAGCCTTCAGTCCAGGCGGCGGATGGGGGCACACTGCTGAGGTGCCACACCCCTCCCCGCCAGAAAACTCTGCCCAATGAGAGGGCGTGGGTCAGAGCGCCCGCTCCCGGAAGGCGTCGCATTCCCAAGGGAGCAGGGAACGGGACGCCTGCTCAAGAGCGAGCTGCACTCGGTAAGGATGCCTCGCTCGGGCCAAGAGCGAGGGGCGGTGCGCTGCCGTCGGGTGTGCAGGAGATTTCCTGCAGCCGACGACGAGCTCGCACCCTCTGTCGATCGTGAAGGCCCCGCGGCGGGCGCAGTGCGTGCACTGGCCAGCACGATGGAGCTCGTGCCCCAAGGCCTCGCCGCGGAGTGCGGCAGGAATCTTGAACTCCTCCCCCCCTCTGGGCCGACCCAGCGCCGGTCGACACGACGCCTCCTCCCGCGAGGTCTGCGTGCCAGAGCGCGCCCAGCGCACATGGTGCGTTCGCAGCGACAACACGGGGTGCAACGCCACGCGCCACGTGCTCTGAGGAGGGAGTGAGGGGTGGAGCCAGGCGGGAGTCGAGAGCGACGGGGTCGAGCAACTGCGGCAGGTCTCTCAGCGGAATCTCCGAACTTCCCCCACCGACGCCGCCATCCCCGCCACCAGTCCGAGCACCCCCTGGACCTCGGCCGCTCGGGAGGTCCAGGTGGCGCTCATCCACTGGGGGACCGTCGGCAAATCTGCGCCTGCCTTAGCTTCAACGTCGGCACGCTGTTTCCCTTGGAAATCCAGGAAACCGTCATGCGACTCGTCGGCTGGGCCTCTGGATTGGGCCCGAAACTTCGCGAAAGAACCGTGGTCGGCAAAACTTTCCCATAGGAGAAACCAGACTCCAGTCCACAGGTCAGCATGCGGGCGAGAGGCTCGGCAGCATCACTTCTGGCCTCTGCGCAGGCCTCTGATGACTGTGGCATTGTCTATGCCGACACAGAGGGGAAGGGTGGCAACTTCCAGAACTTTTCATGAGGCCGAACATCTCAGCCCTCAAAACGGTGCAAAGGAAACGCGGGCCAGGAAGTGAGCCGTGCATGGCCCTGATAATCGAACCGTCGTCATCCAAAAAGACACGCCCCCACCCGTAACTTTCGAGCCCTGGCGGCCCCCGTCCACAGCCGTCTGAATAGGCGCGGCCCTGGCAGAGTGGAGGGTTCATATACGGGCCCATGTTCCACAATGCCACGGGAGAAGAGGAGAGACTCAGGCTCGGAGGACTCGAAACGATGCACTATCCAGTGGACGCCCCACTCGACGGCAACTTGGTGGC